ACGAGAAACATCTCTGAATGTGTAGTGTAAATCTGTGGAACAATATTATTGGTTTTACATGTAGTGTTTTACAAACACAGAAGCAGGAGAATTTTTTTTTATCAAGAAAGACTTCATGGAAGAAATGGCATTTAAACAGCATCTGGAAGTTTGAATAGGATGTTGATGTAGGGAAGAGCATTTTAGGTAAAGGGAAGGTTAGAGAAGAGGCTTGGAAAACCACAGCTGGTAAGATTGCTGCTGTGTTTCTCAAACGTTAATGTGTGTAAGAATCCTTGAAGTTGTGTTAAAATGGAAAACCTGATCCAGTAGGTCTGGGGTGAGACCTGGGAGTCTGTATTCCTAACAAGCTCTCTGGGGATGTTGGAACTGCAGATCCAAGGACCTCACTTTGAGTAGCAAGGTTCTAGTCTAGGGAGAAGGATGATTCAAGGAGACTAGTGATAAATGAGATGATCAGATCAGCTTGGGGCAGGTTCTGGACAGGCCCTTGAATGTCTCACTAACAAATTTGAACTTTACTCTGTAAACAAAATGAAATCATTGTAAGTTTCTGAACAAAGGTTTTAGTGCTACCGGATGATTAATCTGGCAATAAGATATAATCTAAAATAGAGGCCGCTTACACCATGGACCAGTTAGGAGGCTAACGTAGGGGTATATTCATGTATCAACTATTTACTGTATATGTACATTATGCAAAGCACTGTGTCAGACTCTCAAGTAGTGGTTCTCAAACTCCACCGTGCATAAGATTTACCTAGAGAGTGTGTTTTTTAATGCATGTTTCCAGTCGCCACACCCAGATTAGTAGACCTATGGTGGGACCCCAAAATTTTCTATTTAAAACCCCCACAACCTCTGGTCTTACAGATACAAGTCAAGCAATGTCATAGGGATTACTGAGTCTATAAAAACAAAAACAAAAAACCAGACCTGTGTAGCTTCTGATCTCAGCTTACATGTCCATATGGGAGATGAGGTGAGCTTACAAATAACTCAGAGAAGGAAGGAACAAATTATTTTATAGCTACAGAGATCAGGGAGGGCATAGTAGGGGAAAACTGCGTATTAGTTTGGCCTTAAAAGATGTGTAGGATTTGGATCTGTAGCAATGTTGGGGAAAGACTTTTTAAGCAGTGGAAATAATAAAAGGAAGGTGATACTTAGAAGTTGCTTAGCTAGGTTAGAGACATCTGAGTATTCAGAGTCAGCATTACAAAGATAGGTTGGGAGTCAGATATTGAAAGGCCTTTAAAACTCTTTCTTTCTGAGTTTGGACTTTATTTTGTTGGCAGCAGATAGAATTGACGAATTTGGACAGAGTCATGAAATGACCAGGGCTCCAGTTTAGGAAGAACTGTCTGGTGGAAGCATATAGAATGAACTGGAAAGGAGAGGCAGAGGGGGTGGGGAGAGCAATGTGGAGGCTACTGCAGGAGTGAGGAGGGCAATCAGGGTCTGAGATTTAGGGTGATGGGCGTGCAAAACAGTGGGGAGGAGAAGAGGATTGGAGAGATGGTACAATGGGTGATTAAATGTGGGGCACAAGCAAGAGGAAGGAAAGATGATGCTCAAGATTCTAGCCTGCATAACTGTGATGATACCTAGGAGGCCTTTGGGATCAGAGAACTGAAGAAAAGGGGAAGATTATACCTGGAGATCTGTATCTGGGGATTAATCATATAAATTGCTAGCTGAAGCCTTAAGAGTGGATGAAATTGCCATAGGGGAGGTGGTGCAGAGGGTAGAAAAAAGAGGGTTGAGGACAGTATTTAGGAGGCAGAGGGAGGAAAAGGAGCTAGAAAAAGAAGCAATTAGAAGGGTGAGGAAAGAAGGCACAGTTTCACCGAAGAAGTAGGAATACAGTGGAACAACAAGCAGTGGTCAGCAGTGTTGAAGGCTACAGAGAAGTTGAGGAGAATGAACACAAAAGGCCATTGGATTTAGGAATCAGGAGATTATCGATGATCTTCAGAGGAGCAGTGAATCAGCATTAGAATTGGAGGCAGAAGCCAGATCACAGGGAATTTGACATCAGTTTTGAGACCATAGAGACAGTAAGCATAGATTACTTTTGTATTAAATCTATCAGAAAGAAATGTTGAGAGAGGATGAGTTTAGTTATGAGGGGCTGAGAGGCTAAAGGAAATTGCAAAGGGAATAGAAAAGAGGAGTTGTCATTGGAGAGCCTGCAGATATAGACTCTATCGGTCTTGGAGACTGATGTGATGTAGAGATCGGAAGGAAAAGGATTCCAGTTTCAAGACTTGGAGGCTGGAAGAAGGAAGATGTCATATGTAACTAGAAAGAAGTAATACATTAGAAGCAAGTTTGGGTTCAAAGATGACAAGTTTGACTTTAGACATGTTTATTATTATTTTCAATGATACTAAGTAGAATGCCCCCCCCCTTCCTCTGCTCCAGGAAATCTTCCTCCCAAGAGATGGAATGAATCTCTTCGTTGGACAGACTAGTGTCTGTCCTGGTAGTTTTGCTGGACTATATTTGTAGGCTGGGTGCTAAGCCCAATAATCTCTCAGGAATCCCTTTCATATCTTAGATACGAATCTATTCTAACATTCAACTCTGTTTAGCTTCACATGGTAAACCATTAAGAAATTGCTGATCCCCAGTAACCATGCAGAGAGGCCATCCAGGTCTTTTATCTAAAACTAGTGAGACTCCAAGGGCAAAACAATAACTATAGCCGGAGCTCTTTTGGTCCAAAGTCCAAGGGACTTCCTTGATGCCCTGTCCATGTGACTCTTACGTGTTCCCTTAGGGCCCTGGGTCTCGATGTCTTCCTTATTCTACAGCTAAGTTCTAACGGGAAAAAGCCAAGAATTTCTTTTGAGCAAGGTCAGTGTCATATTGAGTTCAAGGTCAAGCCCAAGAAGCCAAAATCCTGAGGGAAGGAGCAACCCTCTTACGTCTTGCATTTTCAGGAAGACTTGAAACATTGATCTTACTAGTTTTCATTTGTCACTGACCGCAGAATGGCCTGAGTCTGTTCATATTAACATTTTATAGCCAAAATGAAAAGGATCCTTTTCTGCTGGCCCTTTCTATGTGCTGGTTTTGGTTTTCAGTAGCTGAAGTTTTCCGTTGAGGTTCTTTTAAACGCCTACATGCAAACTGAAGAGCACTCAAGCTTTGGTGGGATATCACCCACAGCTGGAGTGATGAAGGAAGGGAGGAGGGTACAAGCCTCAGGTGCATCCTTCTCTTTAAAAAAAATTTAAAAAAAAACCACTTAAGCAAACAAATTCCATCTGACAGCAGGCAAAATGTGTCCAGAGAAAGAAGGGAATGCAACTCTTTCCATGTAGGAAATGGCTATCAATTCATATAGAGCCCAGACGCATAGGATGGGCAAATTGGACACATGCTGGATGTCTCCTACAGCCCTGTGTCTCTTCTAATCAAAGAGTGAAAGGTTGTGAACCATGAACCGTGGTAAGAAGCACTGGAACAGCGTTGCAGCAGTGGCTCCTCTGTTGGTGGTTAGACCCTGTCTTGCTCTATTAAGCAAACACAGTTAATATAGATGAAAGGTAACCCGGATAGAAGTGAAAATTGAAACTTGAGTTGAAGGTAGCAAGCCAGGCACAGCTGCAGTCGTACTTCCTCCTATGTGGCAACAGGAGCTGCATTTACTGGTGTTGTTTGGAAGGGATGTCGTTTTTTTTTAAATATCTTTGCTTCAGCGTGTTTTGGTTTTCAACGTCTACACCATTGATGAGGGAGTGTGGACTATGTCAGAAAGGAGCCATGTAGGCTTTGCATGTCCAAAGGTGAGGGCAAATCCAAGTTCAGTGTTCTAATCACACATCTGCTATTAACTGACTGTGTAACCTTGGACAACTCACCGTAAACATCTCCGTTCCCAGGTTTCCTTATCTGAAAAACAAGAAGGTTGGATTAGATGATCTCTAAATTCCCTTCCAGCCTTGAAATTGATTTGTGGCTCCTCATGGAGCATTACAATTTCCAGTTTCTAAGAATGAATTTTTCAAGATGTAAACATTTATGCAGCATGTTTTGTATATGAAAAATCTCTTTTAAATGTTTATTATTATTACATCAGGCAAATATTTGGGTTGTCTTAGTGTCAGTATATAAATTTTCCTTCTTTATTTCTTATCTTCTTCGGCTTCAAAGAGTGTTGCAACTCTTTTTAAGACAGAGCCTGATCAGCCAACACACTTGGGCCAGCCCCTCCTCTCCTATCCGGTCCTACAACTCTAGCCCTCCCTAACTGGGCTGTAGGTGGTCCATTTACCTGTGTCAATGAAAGGGACTCCTGAGAAGGTTATGTTAGAGGATGACTTCTCCTTTTATCTTTCTCAACAGTATTTCACTAGCACTGCCAGCTTCCTCTATGTTCAGTGTTGTCTCTTTATCGGTTCCAAGAGAGATAGAGAGATAAAACTCATTTTAGCAGTTCATATACATGGAAGGGGGAGAGGCAATGCAAGACTAAAAATCAGAAGGAAAAAAACATATTAACTATTCAACTCTCAATCTTAGTGACTTCAGTTGGATGCATTTGAAGGATTAAAACAGTATTTTCTTCTTGAAACCAGAGATCACATCAGCTTGCCTTTTAACTGCAGCCACCGAGAAAGGTAGTAGATCTGAGAACCTTTCTTCTCCCCTAGCACTGGAGAAGAATTGCTCAAAATGTGTTTTTCATAGTCGCTTTGAGCAGTCATAGCTAAAATCTGTTATCTCAAATTTTCTGGATGGCCTAAAATGCTGTCATCTGTGTGTGTGTGTGTGTGTGTGTGTGTGTGTGTGTGTGTTCTCCCCAGACTGTGGCTCTGAATTCAGATAATGAGTGATCTTCCTAATGGTGTTTTCTTGCTTGGTAGATGTACAATATTATGTTAGCTTCACTTGGTATTTAATTATCAGCTGTGGGTGTCTGCTCTCTGAGCTGCTTTGATAGCTCCAAATACAATCATTGTTCATTTCTTGCATTTTCCTCCCTGCAGATGATTCAATGAAAGTGAAAGATGAATACAGTGAAAGGGAGGAGAATGTTTTAAAGCCAGAGCCCATGGGAAATGCAGAAGAGCCTGAAATTCCTTACAGCTATTCAAGAGAATATAATGAATATGAAAACATTAAGTTGGAGAGACATGTTGTCTCGTATGATAGTAGCAGGCCAACCAGTGGCAAGATGAACTGCGATGTGTGTGGATTGTCCTGCATTAGCTTCAATGTCTTAATGGTTCATAAGCGGAGCCATACTGGTAAATAGTCTCCTTTATCCATTCTTCTGTAAACTGTCCTAATGCAGCCACGTGAGAAGTGAAGTGGTGGAATTTAGGGCTTACTTTTGATTATTCTTGCTTTTTGCTTTAATTCTGTTGCATCTCTCCCTCTCTGCATTTCCATTACCCAGTGATTTTTAGCCCTCCTTCACCATGCATGTGGCAAACATATTGCAAATGCTGTGAATAAAGGAAGACTGTAGAGAGCACGGTGTTCTAGGTCAGCCAAATATTTTTCTTCAGTTAATAAGTAGGAGTTGAATTGTGTGATATACTTCTTAAGCATCTTCCATATATTTTTGCATAACTTTTAAAAAAGTAGATCTCCTTATTGTCTTGGGTTCAAATTTGGCAGAGGAAAGGATGTAGTTTTTATTGACAGTTTAAAAAATTTATTTTCAGACAACAAAAAAGCAGTCTACAGAAATGCATACAAACACAACAGTCCCACTGAGCCAAATAGACTCCATCTAACATCGGATCTAAAGACTTTAAAAGGCATTTCTGGCCCTCTATACCTTATGAGAACTTGGGTCTGTGACTCTTTTTACAGATTGAGATTATATTCAAGAGGAATGCTAAGTAATGTAAAAACAAATCTAGAAAGCTCTTCTAAAGCTACTCTTGTTTTTTTGGGGGGGGGGTTTGTTTGTTTGTTTGTTTTGCTTTGATCCAAGACAAGGTGATACCTCAAGTAGCAATGCTAGGTGAGTGCTTTTTCCCTTCTAGAGGGAAGATTCCATAAGTAAGTCTTATACTTGCCTTGAAATGCAGCTCCCATCTGATCCCAATAAGAACAGAAACTATCTGAAAAAATGAGCTTTTGCCATAGGCATCTAATCTGTGCATATGCTTCGCCACTTGCTGGGTGATCAGAAATCTCCTTTTTGTCCTTTTTAAAGGTGAACGCCCATTCCAGTGTAATCAGTGTGGGGCATCTTTTACTCAGAAAGGTAACCTCCTCCGCCACATTAAACTGCACACAGGGGAAAAACCTTTTAAGTGTCACCTCTGCAACTACGCATGCCAGAGAAGAGATGCACTCACAGGTCATCTTAGGACACATTCTGGTAAGTGAGAGCAATGAGCATTCCATATCTAGTAAATGTGTGTTCCTCAGTGCCCATGGCGGAAACTAGAAAGAGTTAAATATGGAGGTTTTAATCTGTCATTCCTGTTCTGAAGGGTTACAACAGCAGAGACCTCTAGGGCTAATTACACTTCCATTAAGGCATTAATTGCTCTCCGTCTGGCTCAATGGGGATGATCATCAACCTACCATCTTGGCTCCCCTAGAGAACAACACAGTCAGACAGGAAAAGCCTGCCCTATAAAAACGCCTTTTTAATTTTTGCAAAAAAATGAGAGCCATCAGTATTTTTTATGGTAACTTTGTTAAAAGATTGTTTTCCTAAAAATACACACACATACTTTTCAATCAAAAGTCTGGATAAAGCAGAGGATGTACAGTTTGTAAGTTATGTAAAACCATAAACTGTGTATAAATTATTGTTGGGGGTTAGTTTTGGCCATTCTGGGCTAAATTTCTTTTTTTTAAATTGAAATATAATTGACAGTATAACATTGTATTCATTTTAGGTGTATTTGAACTAAATTTCTTAAAGCCAAGTTTGTGTTTGATCAGCCTATTTCTTTTTAATCTCTGAAAGATGAGCAGCAGTAAGAATTCACAAAAAGCTATGTTCTGTCTTGATGTTTTCACTCCTTATTTTTAACCACGGAAGATCATTTTTTTTTTCAACATTTAGAATTTCCCTCCTAGAAAAATAAAACTGAGTTTATTTTCAAATTTGGGACCTCATGTTCTTGATGTTATCTGACAGAATTTTAATTGAAGAAAAAAAAAAAGGTTGTTTTTTTGTCGATCCACATACCGCTTTGACTAAAACCCAGCCCTAAATCTGCAAGTGGTCACAATTCAGAGACTAGGGGTTAAACAAGTCAGCCCCCACGAAACCCACCATGAGAAATCCTAAATGGCAAAAGAAGGGTTTCTGTTACAGCTCATTGTTCAAAGAGTAATGAATTAAGACTGAATTTGGTCCAAAAAATTAAAATAGTTCTCTTCAGTTGCTTTTTCCAAGTTAAGATCCAACAAAAAGTAGTCATTCTAAAGATGGATTCTAGAAGACCCCAATTTATGCAGAAACTTAACAGTTTTAGCCCTAGCAAACCTGCATTTATTTTAATTTGAGATTCCATAAGGACATTTTAGTGCTTTAAGTCCCAAAGGCGCTGTTTAAACAGAGCAAGAGGATGAGAAAATAAAAAATCTCAGTCCCTAAAACTCTGAAAAATTCATAGGGTACATTTCATTAGCAAATCAGAAAGGCCAGACCTATACACAGAGTTGAAGTTATTACTCACACATTTAAAAACAATGACACATTTGGAGGAAATAGGAGGATAAGGGAGGCCTGAATTGTGTGGATGAACTTTTGAGGAAGCCTTTGCTTTATCTTAGAAATTGTGATGAAGTCATTTTTGCAATTCCTTCTATTTCTGTTATTCAAAAATATTCTCACTTGGTTAGCTCAGTTGTTATTGATTTAGCCCAGAATTTGCTATAGCCCAATGTGGGCAAGGACAAGCCACATTAATCCAAATATGACAATGCTCTAAAAAGGTCAAAGAGGGAAGGGTATAGGTCAAGTGGTAGAGCGCATGCTTAGCATGCAGGAGGTCCTGGGTTCAATCCCCAGTACCTCCTCTAAACATAAATAAATAAACCTAATTACCCACCCCCCAAAAAGAAAAAAACTAACAAATAGGCTGAATGGCTAACTCCCATGAACTGTAGCATTCTTTACTTACAGCAGAAGGGATCTCTTCCTATTTCATTCTTAAACCGCAGTAACCTCCTTGAAAAATAAAAAAGTCCCCCTTTTATTTTTTTCCTGAAGAAACAAGATTGGATCTGGAGCCAAAATATTGTGCTCAATAATAGTCATCAAATCCAAATCCTTTCATTTGTGAAAGGACCCTATCCTTTCAAAGAATACTCTAATATAAATAATTGTAGACTGTACTGTATTTCAGTTAACTAAATTTAAAAGTAATGTAGATGCACAGGTATCCAAATCCTCGGGCTTCTCTCAGCTTCTCTCTAGTGGACAGTGTTCGCAGGGCCCCAACACACCATTTGTTCTATAACCCCGGAGGGTCACTGTGTGCCCCTTGTGCTCTCCTTATAGTTGAGAAACCCTATAAATGTGAGTTTTGCGGAAGGAGTTACAAGCAGAGAAGTTCCCTTGAGGAGCACAAGGAGCGCTGCCGTACATTTCTTCAGAGCACTGACCTGGGGGAGACCGGTGAGTTCACGCAACACCCGTTCTGCACACGTTTAGCGAGCATCTGCTGTCCTAGGTAGCAAATAAAAAGCAAATATCCTGCTCCCGTGGAGTTGTATTTTAATAGGGAAAGACAGACTAGAAACAAAGTGAATTAGTAACTAATACAGTGTATCAGAAGGTAATGATTGCTCTTGAGAAAAATGAAGCAGGTTACTGGGGGCTGAAGGTGAGTTAGGGAAAACGTCAACAAGCTGAGATTTTAACAGACTTAAAGGCATGAGGAGAGAGCCCCTGCCCATAACTAGGAAATAGGAAGTGCAAAGGCCCTGGGGCTTGAGTTTGAAGAAATGCAGATAGTCCTTTGTGGCTGGAGCAGCAGAGTGAGTAATGGGACACAGGCCAGAGAGGAAATAGGAAACCAGATCTTATCAGGCCTTGTAGACCATTGTAAAGACGTTGGCTTTTACTCTGAGTGAAACTGAAAATCTTCAGAGGACTTTGAACAGAGAGGTGACATGATTGGACTTCTCATTTGAAGAAAAAAAAGTCCCTCTACTTGCTATGGAGAATAGATTGTATTTGGACAAGATCAGAAATTGGGGAGTCCAGTTAGGAGGCCGTTGCCATAATTCAAGCAAGAGAAAATTGTCTCTTGGTAGTGGTAGCGGTAGTGCAAAGCCTTCTAATTCTGTATCATATAGTTTAAAGATAGAACCAACAGGATTTCTTCACAGATTGATATGGGATGTGATGAAGACTGCAATTGCCATTAACTGAAACGGCAAAGATTGAGGGGAGAGGCAGCCGGAAGGGTGGCTAGGGCAGAGTCCATTAAAATCCACAAGAATTTTCTTTGTTTCATATATGCCTATGGCAAATCATATACTTGTCTACTTACATGATTCGTTGTGGCGCCTATATTTGGCTTTGGGAATTTCATATTTTATTCAGTGCTCTGAATTGCATGCCTAATGGCCGTTGAAACACTGGATGTCTTTCCATACACTCAATTGTGGTTTTCTTTCTTTTCATTCTTGAGTTGAAACAAACTGAAACCTTTTTTTGTGCCACCTCTCTGCAATTGTCCTTTGACTCGCATGGTTGCTTGTCAGCCTGGTTCTGCAGCTTGGGTTTTCTGGTATTTGTATTTGGTTACTTGAGCCAGTTGCTTATCTAGAGTAGGTGTTAAGTCCTCGTGGGATTTGGTGTTTGACAGCAGTAGCTGCAGTTGGAACATTCTAAGACAGAAAGATAATGATAATATGACAGAAATAATGTGAAACTCAGGAAAAATGGAGTGGAAATCGTGAGTAGTTTAACTGTACCCATGTTGAGTGAGAGGAAACTTTTGTTTTAGAGAAAGCCTATTTTATGGTGTTAGGAGCTGGCCAACTGAATTCCGTTGGTTTGCACTGCTTCTGCTTTTTATCCTGATGGCATCTTTAGTGTTATCAAGGAGTTGGATTTCCTCCTTATTTCTAAAGAGAAATGTTTACTTTCTTTCAAAAAAAAAAAAAGACACCAAAAACTTGGGTTTTGACATCTTAAGCAACATGCTTAAAGTTGATCAGGCAGTCCTTGGCCATCTTTACATGCAGTTCCACATTTCAGACAATAGACGAAGCTCTTACTGTGAGAAATTCCCCACAATATGAAAATCTGTACTATTCCAAATAGAATCATTATTATTTGAAGCTGGAAGGATTAAAAAGAGCATCTAATCCTACCTCATCATCTTAGAAGTGAGGATAGTGAGACTCCTCCATGACTTACTTAAAAATCACTAGAAATTTCATTGTTTTCATCATTAGGAATTTTTTTTTTATTTTAAAAGACATAGTGGGATCTCATTCACATACCATTAAATTTATCCTTTCAAAGTGTACAATTCAGTAGTTTTTAACACATTCACAAAATCATACAACCATCACCACTGTCTAATTTCATAACATTTTTGTCACCCCAAAAGAAGCCCTGTACCCCTTAGCAATCACTCCCATTCCCCTCTCCAGCCTCCAGCAACCATTAATCTGCTTTCTTTCTCTGGGGATTTGCCTATTCTGAACGTTTCATGGGAATAGAATCATAAAATTGTGTAACCTTTTATGTCTGACTTCTTTCACTTGGCGTAATGTTTTCAGGGTTCATCCACGAGGCAGCACTTCATTCCTTTTTATGGCCGAATAATATTCTATTATATGGATTTACTGCATTTTATTCATCCATTCATCAGTTAGTGGACATTTGGGTTTTTTCCACTTTTGGAAAATGTGGCTTGATTAGCTGTATTTTTTCGAAAGTTATATATTTTCTAGTTAGCAAAGGAAATATGTAGTAACACACGTACTAATAGGATTGATTGTCCTTTGAAGTCGGGGGAAAATCAATAAACTATCCTCTATGAACAGTAAGTTCAAAATTACTGACTTGGAAGTAAGATTATCACCTTACTTCTCATCTCCATAACCTTTTTTAGGAATTTCAAACTAGAAAAGTATCAAAAGAAATGTTTTTGCTGTCTTCAGTGGTATAAGGTGATTCAGGAAATACTGAAATACAGAGGTTGAGTCAATTTGCATTTCATGGGTTGGTTTGATGGACTCATGCAATGCACTTTAAGTATCAGCAAAAAAATAATGGGTTAACTAAGTCAGCAAGTTTTGATTTTTTTTTAAAAGCAAATATGTTGTTATGGTAGTTTCAGGTTACAAAATGTATAAAGTCATAGCTTAGTCAAACATAATAAATACTGCAAGTCAGTCAGCATACTAATCTATCTTTTATATTTCAAATAGTTGTCATGATTTTTCCTGAAATCGAAAATATAAAGAATGTTTTACACAAGTCAGTCCTTTAATAATTGCCACCGCTCCCTACATGGTTTCAATTTCTGTTTCGTTCTTAAAACTGGGGGTCCCAACCTGGACAGAGTGCTCCCTTCTGAGCCTGACCAGTCTGGTGTCACCAGTGGTCCCTCTCATCCCTTCATCCCTAACTTTCAAAGTGATGATGTGCCACTGTGGACATGGCGCTTTTCATCAAATGATCCTTGTAAATTGAAGTGCAGCCTAATGTGAGAGCCAAGCCTTGGGACATACCTCCCCCCATCAGGAAGCAGAACAGATGAAAAGGCCTTAGACTGGAGACCAGTCTGCAAAAGCATGCCGTGTTGGGCAACAGGACTTATGGCCTTGCTAATTATTTTCTTTTGTTCAAAGGGCGTCTCCTGGATTCTCATGTGCCAGGCTCTGTGTCAGAGCTGTTGGTAAAGATGAGTGACAGTTAAGCCCCTACCTTTGAAGGACCCACATCCCAGCACGGGGCTGGGCACTTGATCTGTTAATATAATACAAAGGTCTCATAGAGACACATGTGACTGTGTTCCTTCAGTCCATGTTTCTGCACCAGACATTATCAGGATACTCCAAGTCTGCTGTCTTAATGTCATATATAGTATGAAAAGAAGACCACAGATTTCATTTTCTTATTAGCTTGATCCTTATTCCAGAAAAGGACAAACAGCTGGTGTAGAGATTCACTTAGGCACATTTCACACAAATTATGAATACTTGGAGCAGGACATATTTTGGTATGACAGTGAGTTCTAGAAATACCAATATTGAATAATTTATTTATGAATCTCGGAGTCAAAACCTTTTATCTTCATTCTCATTGTTGCGGTTGAGATAATATAAGCATGAGAATTTCAGGATAAACATATTTTTACCAAATAACAGTCCAAAGAAAAAGCTTAAAGTGTTTAAAGAATCTATTTTCCCAATAGATTATTCTTAAAAAAAAATACTAACTCACAAGTAATATTCATTTTACTTGCTCAAAAGGCAACAGTTTTATGTAACTTTTTTGTTAGAACCTGCCTCACTCTTTGATAGCAATCTCTTGTTAGACAATTCTTACTACACACTTTGTTCCACTCTCCATTAGTTACTGCTGACCACACCACAGAAGACAGGAAGCAATGCCTCTTATTTGAGCTCCATTTAACACTTCAAGATCTAATGAAGGATTCTGAGCAAAAACAAAAGCACAACAAATTAATAGTTAAATCTGCAGTCATTTTCAGATAGAAATGGCATCGTGCAGTTAACTGAAAACCGGAGAAACGATTAACACTTGTGCAGAGATTAGAGATAGTCACTTATTCTGTAATTATGACTTCTTATGAATGTTATTATTTATTTTTTCCACATGTCTTTAAAATCATTTTTAAAATGAAAATTGGTATATCTGCTTTTTTTCCAGTAAGCAAGTGACATGATGGGGAATTGATCTAGAATTATAGTCCCACTCTTCCTGTGCTCACTCATGAACCAAGTGTGCAAATTGTTTCTTGCCATTATTCCATATCCCCACACCCACCCCTTACAACATTAAACTGCCAAACACCACCCAGGAACGGATTTCCTATTTCGTCATTTAAACCCATTATCTTGTTCCCTTACTATCTTGCTAAACTGGTTTCCCTCCGCTAACATTCTGAGACGTGATGTGCCAAGATAACAAGTCTAGACTCTTTGTATAAATAGACAGTTGGATCTTAAAGTTGAAGCAGAGGACCGAAGCTAATAGTCCTTTTTTTCCCCCTCCCTTTTCAGTGTACTGCCTAAACTCCTTGTAATCCCAAAGAGATTGATTGTCTTAACTCCAGAGCATTTCTTTGTGTTTCAGAGGCTGCTCCTTTAGTACAGCAGCTGTCCAACAACTGCAAGGCAGTTCGGGGAAGAAAGTGAGAGTGCACCATATCCAATTGAAATTTTAGCCTTTGCCTAACTTGCCAATTAGAAAACACGGTTAATTTAGTAGAGATTAACTTAATCTCTGGAATGTGTTCGCACATACAATGAAGACTGGAATCTTGGAGTTGATATTTTGTGCAAATGACCCAGTGGGAGGGTGTTGGAAGCCCTCTAGATCGGTGGTTTCAGAGGATTCGCTTCAATCTAACCAGAGTTGTGGAAATGGAAAAGTCTCCACCCATGCCTCAAATTATCTGTCTATCCATGACACTCCAGAATTTTATCTTTTTAAATGTCAGTCATTTGGTCACTGGTTTACAGAGTAAGATTTACCTAGAAATGACTGTCAAGACAAGCTTGGTGAGTTAACCAGGGATAAAAGATGATGCTATCTCGGAAGGTTGCCATTTAGCGGCATGCCCTAATTATGTTATTTAGGTCAGTGTATCCCCGCTTTAGCATCCTCCCAGATATAGAGTACACTGAGTATGTGTCCTCAGAAAGATGCTTGTGGTAACTGATAATGACTTTGGTTAAATGTAGACAGTGGCTGCTGAGAGCCAAACGGGAAAACTAAACTGGCAGGGCGGACAGATCTCTGGGTAATGATGGGGCCGTTAGACGGGTGACTGAAAAGACTAAATAAGAGTAGTGGTAAAGTGGGTGGGGATAGAGTTAAAACTTCCCAAAGGACTGTTTTTCATTCTTATTTCGTTATAAATCTTTTTGATAATGAATACATAGTGGATGTGGGGCGGGGGGCGGGGGGGGAACCCTTACCTGGATTTAATCCTCTCAGAGTTGCTGGAAGCAGAATGAATGTTCCTAGTCAAAGCACAAACTAAGCTACCTCCCTGATGCTTCTAAGAAAAAGCCTTCTTATAACAGCCTCAGGAACTTATTTCAAATCCCAGGCCTTTGTCTTTCATCTCTCTGCTCTCGGGGCTCTGGGTAGTGCCACATCTGGTGGTGGTTTGTGTGAAAGGAAATAATATGTATAATAGTTTCCTGTTTGGTCATTTAAACCTATCCCTGTGCTGGACAGAATTTGACCCACTTCACTCAATAGCAGTGTCCTGTCACTAAAGTACCTGTTACTTACAACGCTCAGTCAGCTGAAGTTCCAGCGCTTTACCACCAGCCCAAAAGCTGCCTGGGGCCCCTTATTCAGACCATTATTGTTTTCATTTGCACACATAGTATTGTTATAGCTTAAACTGGAGGTTGAGATTTATTTCTTTAGAGCATAAAATTATTTTTGATAAACTCACAAGGTCTCAGTAATAAGGTCTTTATCACCATCCTCTTCCTTATTTTTGGAGCCAGATTTCATTTTATTCTTGAATTTTCAAAACCCCGAGCTTTATAATTTATTGTGTAATGACTGGCAAGGAGTTAAAAAAAAAACAACAGAACCAAAAACATGCCAATAATAAATTGAAAAATATTTAATACTTTGAATTCTCTTTTCTTGATTTGACTTTGGTTCTCTCACCCTGGTCATACTTGACAGTCTTGCCCTTGAGGTCTTTCTCTGTCTTTCATTGACTGCAGAGGTGGTCAGTTTTCTTCTCTCTGGGCGTGTCCATTTGTGGTTCTGCATGTCTGAGAGACCATGGAACTCGTGACATTATTTCTGTATGTTAGAATCTCTTCACACAGCAAACTCTTCAACTACAGAATGAGCACTGACAATTCCTAAATCTGGGTGTATATTTGAGGGGAAAAAAATTCCATTCTGCGATCATCAACTTACTTTTTCACTCTAGTCCCTTAAACTAATTTCAGTTTCTTCTTCCTTAGAGACATTAGGAATGTACAGATGCAACATTTTAGTCTGGACCTCTTGAAATGTTTATGATAAAACAGAGGGAAATGTTTGTAGCATCACAACATGTTTGCTTAGGGCAGGGGTAAGCAAAACTAGGACCCGAAGGCCAAATGCTGTCATAGCCTCTATGTACACAGGGTACATTTTTTTTAAAGGTAGTGGGTCAAGGGAAAAACCAAAGAATATGGAAAAGAGACTACATGTGTCTCACAAAGTTCAAAATACCACTAAGGTTTAAAATACTTACTATCTGGCCCTTTATGGGAAAAAGTTGACTGATCCCTAGCTTGGGCTAGTATCATGTGTTAAAATTTAAAGCCTTGTGTTTAGAAAAGCTGATATCTCTTTGAACTTCAGATATAAATTATTATTGGGGACTGCCTGCTGTACTAAACTGTACTGTATTTATTCCAATTTACTGTTTAGTTGATTCAATGTTGGCACTATTTGTATATTCTTCTAGTGGTTCTCAATTCTGGCTGCATCTTAGAATCATCTGGAGAGCTTTAAAAATACTACTGCCCAGGCCCCTCCACCAGAGATCCTGACTTAATTGATCTGAAGAGGGGCCTGGGCATAGGTGGCTGTAGGCTCTGCAGGTGGTTCCTAATGTTCAGGCAGGTCTGAGAACCACAGCCCTACACCACTTAAAGGTCTGTTTGTGGACTGACAATTAGACCATATTCTTAGGCAGTTTTTATTCACATTTTTCATTAGAAATATAATAAAGATGCATGATACAAATTGCTCTTTAATTTCAAGACAGAGTGTTGCTCAGGGAAATTTTAACTGAGACAGTTTTGAAATGTGAAGAGCATATGAAACAGATAATGCAGAGCCCAGAGAAATAGAACTGAAGAGATAGGAACTGAAAGGAGCATGCTGGAAAAAAAAAAAAAAAAAAGAAAGAAAAAGAAAAAACCACTCAGAATTTCAATACACAAATCACTGAGTAGATTTCTTGCTGTCTGGGTAAGTGTATCTATTTTCAAAAGTGCTATTAACATAAACAGAGCAGTAAATCTGGGGCACCATACTTTTTTTTTTCAAAGTTGTTAAGAAGAATTATATCAGTCTGCAGGTGTCACACGCAGTTACTCAGAATCAGAAAGAAAGCTGATCGGGGGTTAGAAGATCTCCATCTATCTATCTTTTTGCAACCAACCACGTCCAGGCTGTTTATTTAATACTTCCTCTTGCTAATGAAGGTACTGGTTGGGGATGGGTCGGGCTTTCCCATGTCAGCATAAGGCTGCAAGATTTGAATGTGCCCTGGTGCTGGCTTCACTGACCACAGGAGGTACCCCAGGCAAGGATCTGAGCAGTAATAACAGGTAACAATAGAATGTGCATCAGACTTCTGATACGTTTCCTTCCAGTTTATTTCTTTTTCTCCCCATTTACCGACGTGTTCTTTTCCCTCTTCTTTTTTTTTTCCCAAACCAGCAAGTGCGGAGGCAAGACACATCAAAGCAGAGATGGGAAGTGAAAGAGCTCTCGTTCTGGACAGATTAGCAAGCAATGTGGCAAAACGAAAAAGCTCGATGCCTCAGAAATTCATTGGTAAGAATACAACCCTTTTTCCTGCTGTTGTTAGCAGATAGTTTGAATGAGATAACATAGGATGCTTACTACACAGACCCTTCCTAGTTTAATCTCTGTTTTAAAAAAAGGTAATTGATTTTCCACAGTACACTTCTATTCTTCAGGATTCATTCTGATAACTAGAGCAAATAGAATAAAGTATTTTAACTAAAGAATCTTAACTACTGCAGATGGAAGTATTTGGTATCCAATTTCCTAAATGGGGTTGGTGTTAAAAATGCTGTTCCTTCCTCTTATTCTGAATGACATATGTTGCATGAGAGAATTTATGCAATTTACACCAGTAAGATGTTCGAGATAGCATTTTTGTAATCTTTTGTAATTATATTTTACAAGTTGGTTCCTTTATCACGCTCAACCCTTTTTCATGCTCTAAAACGTTTTACTATATTTTCTTAAATTTGATTGAGAATTGGTTTTAAAAGAAAGTGGTTAGGAAAACAGATTTCAATAACAAGGTTTGATTTAATCATTTGTCTCACTGGAGTTAATTTTTATGCCATTGGTTTTCACATTGTCAAAAGATACAGCAAGAAAGAGATGGCTAAGAAATAATTATGTCCATTAAAGTGTTCGGACTGCCAAATGGCAGAAATATTTTGCTGAACTCTGCCAGGTGTTTACATAAATGTGACTATGATATTTAAAATAGATTTGATTTTGTGAAGTAGGCAGCTGAATTGAACGTATTGGTTTTGCTATAAACTGAAAGTCGGTAATATTGAACAAAAATAGTTATCACACGAAAATAGACCTCCCTCAACACCAGTATTTTAGAAACGTGTCAGTCTGTTTTTCCAAAGCTACTTGCTGCTGCTGTTGTTTTCTTATTTCAGTCCTTTTGTGTCCTTTTACAGATATTAAGTGTCTGCCTGGTTTTTAAATATGGTTAAATTTTTTTCTGGTCTAGGTGATTTTAAAATTCTGGTGTAGTTAATTTTTTAATTTTATGTGAGTTACAGAGATATACTGAAAGAACCATGCGTTTCAAAACTACCTAGCTTAGTATTTATGCTTACTTATTTTATTTTGATCGGCTGAGAAGTTTTTGTATCCTTTTAGTCACTTTAAAAATAAATTAGTGTCAGACTGG